GGTCCTTGTAGTTCCACAACAAGCGGAGTGCTGAGCTCATCTTTCCCTGACCCGACCTCCAGTCCTGGGGGCCCAATCACACCGCATGTCCTTCCATCCATTGTTCCTGGGGTGGGCCCGGTCCCCATGGAGACATCCTCCATGCTGCTGTGTGGTGTGCAGACAATCAGGAAACACGGAGCTTCATATGTGTGCATGAGCCCCAAATCCACCGACTCCAGGTGAACCCCCAAACATACAGCAGAGGATCGCTTCACCTTCCTTCTGTCCATCCACTCCTGAGATTCATACAGCTCGGCTAGGACAGCACCCGGACCCTCCTACAGTACTACAGTCTGGTCACCTGTGATTGTTGTTTTCCTCTCCGTTCCCCCCCCCCATGCAGCGGGCGTTCCGTGTGTAAAATACCACGTGTGACCTATCTCCGGCCGCAGCGTGATCGACCTGTACTCTTGTCTCCGCCCCCTCCTGTAATAAAGACCGCCCACTGCTACTCTCTCCTTGTGCGGGGTGACGGGTCTTGTCTCCGCCCCTTCCTGTAATAAGGACCGCCCACTGCTACTCTCTCCTTGTGCAGGGTGACTGGTCTTGTCTCCGCCCCTTCCTGTAATAAGGACCGCCCACTGCTACTCTCTCCTTGTGTAGGGTGACTGGTCTTGTCTCCGCCCCCTCCTATAATAAAGACCGCCCACTCTCTCTCCTTGTGCAGGGTGACTGGTCTGGTCTCCGCCCCTAGTCTGTAGTAGGTGGGGCCTGCCTCTTGGACTCCTCCCCCTTCATACACACACAGACGAGGAGACAGAACAGGGTACAGAGTTTTATTAGCCTTTCTTTCCATAGGAAACCGGGCTAAAATGAATAGAAATACAACATAAGAGAAAGCGTGGCACAGTCCACGTGGCGGTATTTTGGGACGCTGCACCCGTGGTGTCGGCAGCTGGTACGGGCCCCGAGTCACGCTCTCCCTTCCCGCGGTCACTTCCTGTCCGAGGTCTTCCTGGAACACGTTTGCGGCGATCCAAAAATGTGAAAATACTGAACTGAAATTTTTTTTTCTCCCCCTCCATTTCCGTGGCGCTGCGTGGCGGGGACGCCGACCCGGTTGAGCGTGGACAGCAGCCGGCGCCTGGGACTGTTTGCCTGAAGCCCCGGCGCTCCCGGGGAGCCACATAAAACATTTTCTTCTTTTATAGCTTTTTTTTTTTGTCCTTTTTTCTCTTTTTTTTCATATAAAAGGGCGGCTGCGAGAAGGTCCACGTGGCGCCTCACGTAGTCCACGGATAATAAATTACTCTCTGAAATGATCGGTGGATCGCTCTGCCACGCCGAGTCTCTATTTCTCTGCTTTAAAAAAAAAAAATGAGAGCGCGAGAGGGCGGAGCCAAAAAAATAATGCCTTCTATAAATAGAGGGGGAGGAGCCCTCCTCCCCACAATGCCACGGCCACGTCTTCCATCGCTCTCGCTCTCCACCTCAAACAACTGAAACTGATTCGTGGACTGGGAGACGGTTCGATGACCGAGGCGGACATTTCCTGCACCCTGATTGGTGAACCGAGGTACGGGGGGCAAAAACCCCCCAAAAAGTATATAAAGATGCTGAACGTGGCCCTTCCCGTGTCTCGTCCGTCTGCCACGACGTGGGCTCTTAGAATGTCATTTAAGTTCCTAGTTGTCCTCGGATTCCTCCTCGGCCTCTCGCAGCCACGTGAAAAAGGCCGTGACCGACTTTAGTGCTACGCCCTTCCCGTCCTGCTCGGCGGGGTCCGTGCTGCTCTCCCAGCCATAGAAAGCGTCTTCAGAGATCACTTCCTCATCGTACAGACAGTCAAAGAACATGCGCAGCAAGTCTGTGGGAGAGACCACGGATCAGACACGGAACACGTCTGGAACAGAGCACCCCCACCGACCACCAATGTAAGGGACGTTCCCCCCCCCC